TCTCTCTGCCAGTTCCATTCCCCCTCGGAGCTCCCGTCCCGAGGACCAGCCTATAGATTTCAACTGCTCTCCTTTCCTCTGCCTTTTTTGCATCCCCCCGTCAGGCCCGGCTGTTCCTCCTCTTCCTCATCAGCCCCCTCCAGACCTAGGGGCTGTTGACTGTCCATCTGAGGGCTGACAGATGACCCAGGCTCTGCTTCTCTCTCTCTCCCCCTCCTTCCCTCTCTCCCTGTCTCTCTCTCTCTGCCAGTTCCATTCCCCCTCGGAGCTCCCGTCCCGAGGACCGGCCTATAGATTTCAACTGCTCTCCTTTCCTCTGCCTTTTTTGCATCCCCGCGTCAGGCGCTGGGCCCGGCTATTCCTCCTTTTCCGCATCAGCCACCTCCAGACCTGGGGGCTGCGGACTGTCCATCGGAGGGCTGACGGGCAGCCCAGGCTCCGCCTCTGTCTCTCTTTCTCCGCCAGCTCCATTCCTTCCAGCCCCTTGGAGCTCCCGGGTTGCCCCGATACTGACTCTGAATCCAACGCCTTCTCCTCCTCCTCTGAGCAGCAGCTAGTAGTAAGCTAGCAGCTCAGCATGAAAATGAGTCGAGCGGGTACTTTCTGGTATGCTGGTTTTCTACAAACGGGGATTAGAGGAGGGTTGGAGAATCCCTCTTCACGATGGTTTCTTCCGTCTGGATTCACAGACGCCAGATTTATTTGCTCAGTTGCTCTCGATGAGAATATTTTTGGGGGTTTTTCCACGGGGGGGCGTTGATCAAGCGGCAGAGTTTTTAAATCGATTCTGATTTGTGTTAAATGCTTTTGCCGTGAAACTGACCGGGCCCTTGGCACAGGCAATCGATCGGATGATGCTACAAGCCTTGTTAGGCTTTTCAATGTTAAATTTTAATCGACTTTAAAGAAAGACTTAGAAACAAGGAGAGTTTAAAACATGTAAAACGGAGAAAAGTGTGGGGGGGGAATGTACAGTAAAGTAAAATAAATGAACAAGTGATCTAAAAGACCGTGAAGACTGTAATTTTCTAATATATTGCGGAGAGGCAGTTTGGTGCAATGGTTAAGGCATCAGACTAGAAACTAGGTGAAGCTGAGTTCTAGTCCCACCTTAGGTATGAAATTGGCTAGGGGACTTTGGGCCAATCACCAGGAGACGGTGAGTTTTAGTCCCGCCTTAGGCAGGAAAGCCAGCTGGGTGACTTTGGGCCAATCACCAGGAGACGGGGAGTTCTAGTCCCGCCTTAAGGCATGAAAGCCAGCTGGG